GATTGAATCAATATCTTGTTATTTTTAATCAAACAAAATGATTGTTTGAGCCAATTCAATATCTCTTCATAAAAAATTTATGAATGTGCTTGATTGAATAAGATCCAGAGTTCATGCAAGACAAAATTACTAGATTCAAACTTCAAATTTGCTCTGAAACAAGATATAGATTTACTCATTTCAAGATTATATTTTGTCATGCATATATGACACTCATATTTGCTTCATTCAATTAAATTTTGCTCGATTCAACAATTCCTTTTTTTAGTGTAGGATAACGAAAGTTCAAATGAAGAAGGGGAAGTATCTATAGAAGATAACTGTATATATTTTGTCGTGATCACAAAAAATCGAATAAGATGGAACAATTTTGGTTACAAAATTGAACGAAATAACTCATTGTCGTGGAAATCATCAACCCAATCACCAACCTCCAAGCTGATGATGACATTTTGAAATTCCGAAGGGTGAATTTAATTGGGTGATTCCTGACATCCCTTGACTATGCTTCACTATATACATTTATGTAAATATACCTACCAATGTTCTACATTTGTGAAACAATTATTATTTCCACTATAAATAGCTAATAGTTGTGTATACGCAGACCCCACATGTAGACACTATACGACGCAAGGTTCGTATTTTGTCGTATGTCTGAGGCAAAATATTTACGCTGGCGCCACGATATGATACGCAAACGTCACGGGTCTCGTAGATATACAAGGCGATTCAGAGTTTTGAGAACGAAAATATAATTCCAACAAGAAATAGCCACAATACTCGAAGTGGAATGAAATGTTAAATTAATACAAAAAGCTCACAGTCATATCCACCCAATGTTCATAAAAAGAACAGAAAAGGTAGATTTCGGGAGAAAAACGTCTACTTTTCTAGCTAATGCCACGCAGAACATTGAATTACATCCTCCCGAAATCTATGCATCGACTCGTGTGAACGAATACTGATACAAGTGACTCTTAGATTAGATTAGAGAGAATCTAATCTAAGTGACTCTTTCTTGAATGTCTATTGATTTCGATTTAGCCAGGCCACGCTAGACACCTACAGACCGGTTTCGAGCTCTTTGACTCTCAGCAGTGCAGTGCAGTCTCAGCCAGCAGTCCTAAGACCTTCGACTAAGCGTAGCCTAGCCAAACAAAAATCAAGTCAGCATTGTGTTCCCCCAGAGTCGTCTTTCATAGACAATATGAAAGCAACGCCATCTGAGTAGGAACGAAGGAAAGAAACACTCCAAAACTGAAATTCCCATACGGAAGTGGCTGGTTTCCGACTGCCGTGATTTCAACTACGAAATGGCCACAATGCTCAAAGTTCATAATCCCCCTGTAATTCATGTTTATAATGATTTTTGGAAAATTAGCTTATCGGTTTTCGGTTTTCTGTTATAATTGCAAAATTGCCCGAGTCCGAAGGCCCTCTTTTAAAAAATATGAAAATAACCGAATGCAATTTGTATAAGATAATACACTTGAATGCAAAATCATCTGACAATTTTTATGCACTTATGATGTTTTTCACGAATAAAGAAATTCTCGGTTTATTTTTATGAGATATATCATAATACTGACAAAGATTATAAATAAAATGTGCTAGGTATAAGACATTTTGATTGAATGGAGCACTCACAAAAATGCGAATTTTTTTTCATTTTTTGAAGTCTATCTGACATTTATCTTATCTGTATATTGTTTACTGGCAACTGGCGTCTAGCGACATCCGGTTTCAATTGTGTTGTTATGGCAACGGGTTGGTTTCTTAGTGCAATATTCGCTCTGAAGTGCAATTACCGCTGTAATTTTCTGGCTAATTGCATTGCTCTTATATGAGACATTTTATATATGAGATGAATATTTACTCGGTTTTCGTCTTGTTTTCGTTTTCATATTCCTCTTCCCCATCGGTAATTTATTAGGAAATAAGGGAAAAACAAACAACCAATGATAATAACAACAATAAGAATATATATTATTCACATATTTGGCTGAGGATTCACTAATTTATGTAGTTCTATTCGAGTTTTTGAAAGAATCCATTTAGGTACTCATCATTTCTTTAAATAAGTGGTTTGAGTTGATCTTTTTTATTTCGATGGGAATTGAATCATCAAGTTTAGGGCCTATGTAAGGGTAGCTTCTTTGCATTAGACATTTTTCAGCCCTATAAAAACGATTTTCCTTAAATCTAGTACTATATAGGAATGATCGATATTCACAAGTTCATGTATAATGAATGTTATTGTTGTCTCATGAGAATGTTCATACAAAATAATTGACAAACGTCCTTTATTTTGGTTTCATCAATCGTTTTTGTACTATTTCTAGGCTATGTAAATGTGTGTTTCATGCTCCACCTCATGCTATATGATTCCATAATTTATGTGTTTCTATGAGGGAATGGTAGGCCCTGCATTTCAATTCGTATCGAATAATTTTAGACCAACTTTGTATGATCGCATTTTAAAGAAACATTTTTTATGTAAACATGAACCTAACCTCTTGAGTCCGAGTTGAGTGTCATCGGGCCATCGCTAACCTTAACTCCTCTATCCACAGTTACAACTTGACACTAGCGTCTAGAAACAGGACGCATCAAACCTAACGACAACAGCTTAAACACTTCTGAGCGGTTTGTTTTGATGATGTGACCAATAAGAATAAACAAAAAACAAATGTGAACCAATGGAAACAAAGTAAACAGGCCGCTTTGACAACTTTCAAGAATTCCGATATGTGGCGCCGCGGTGTGTGAAATGATTGTTTTATGAAATGAAATGATGAGTGAAACGAGCAAATACAAATCGTTCTATTGATGATTATCGAAAATCCCTTAGCGAAATCCCTACTCTTTTTCGAAACAAATTAGGTATGTTGCAACCGGACGAGTGATTGCCAAGCAACATAATTTGTTTCTGAAGATCGAAGGGATTTGTCGAGGGATTTGTATTTCGATAATCATCAATTCACTTCTTGTATTACATACGAAAACATTTTCAAACTAACGATTCAAATCTGAAAATGATGACAATGACAATTCGGAAATGTTAGTGGAGACCAGCGTGTGCACCGGTGGCCAAATTACGGTACGGCAGTTAGGCGGTGGTTTGATGTCCATTTTCCGGAATTTAATTCTCCTTGTGTTTATCTAATTATCAGTTAATTTCTCGGGTATACAAACGACCGCCATAATCCTTGCTGTAAAATAGGACGATCTTTGCGGAATAATCTGAATTTCGGGCCTGAGAACGGGAGATAACGCGGTAATGGACAACACAAGGATCATAACGGTGGGAGAGGTTGAATTAGGTATCTGTTTAATTAGTGTATATGAAGCAGAATATCCTGAAAAATTTAAGCTCTGAAGTTTTATTATGGGTATTATTATGAGTGTTTTAGTTTGTTGACTCTGAAGAGGGTTTCTTTTTCAAGTTATATCTTCGTACCTATTTCAACATAATAAAAATAAATTTGATTGCCAAATCGGAAAATCAGCGATATTTATTGTAAATGTGAATTGTGAGTTCTCTTACGCCATATCGAAATAGACTGGTATTGAACCATAAATCAACTTTCCGAAAACGAACGAGACCATAACTTAAAGTGATTTCTAAGTATTGACATATACAGACAGACGCAAGAAGTACGTGAACGTTTAAATCGATGGCAGCATAATCAATGAGAATATGGACGGGTTTTGTACCAGATGAATATACGATCTTTGGAGACATGGCGCCCATAAGGTGAGATAGTATTGCAACACATAGACGGCGTAAGAACAAGGATTTAAAGGAAAAAATATCATTTGATTTACCTGCTCAAAATGATTATTCGAATGATCTTCATCAGAGCTTGTTTATAGTAATATATAGAAACCTCTGGATGCTGAGCAATATCTTGTACGAAATTCGCATCTAAGTAGTGGTTATCGTGATGCTAATGATTTTCATATTCAAAATTAATATTCTCTGTTGTTATTATCTACTACATCAATATAATTCTAAAGTAATAACCATCAGAAATAGAAACAAATAGATACACAGATATCAAAGATACCTAGTGGAAAAGTCGCGATAAATTGCACTTGAGAAAACATAGGATAAACAGATCATATGAATAACGTGTATACGAATATAAAATGTGAAATTTAACTCAATCACTCTCAAAAAAATGTGTATGTGTCTCTCGCTTTTCATCGTTGTTCAAAATAATATCGTGCGCTCTTGGATTTACGTTTTAATGCAATAACCGCTCACTCATGTCATATGTGACGCCTGTGTCTGGACAATGGGCAAATTTTCCCAAGAAACCGTACATATTTGCATTGCGATTACTAAACGTCGAGACTGTCGCTGCATATAAAGAGACTTTTGTCTGCGTCAGCAAAAAGTGGAATCTCGAACATACATCGATTACATTATTTATCATTGATTTGATAGTAAATTCAATAAATCGTACATGATACGGTACGGTAAGCAGGTACGCACCATGTATTCCTCCGATATCTAGTGACGCCTACGATTTCCTAAAGTTCACGAAAAACTTCACGTCGTCTCAATAAATTATACATCTCTTTATGACTGAACTTTCTATTCGACCAACCATCTTACCACGCAGATTCTCTTCTTTTTTAATGCATCCACGCCCGCGCAATCGCGTGTCCCATTCACGAAGTGCATTTTAATTTTCATTGATAGGAAAAATTACGTTTCTAATGGCTCTGAGTGGAAAGCAGAGGCGTACCGTCATCAGAACACCGATAAAGATTGCCGCCTACACCTGTTGAATACCAGAAACAATCGCTAGTCGGTCGTTCCTACGATAACTTGATAAATGGCTTGAGTGATCCCCTAAATAAAAAACTTGCAAAACTCTCTCTCTGATAAAATCATTATAGCATTACAAAATAAAATAGTAATGCGTTCTTCCCAACCGGTTCACCGCCTACTGTCACAAACTAATTCTTACATTTATTCTTTGCAGACCCCGACATGATTCAGGATATCGTCTCACAGAACGTCATCGAAGAAGAAGAGAAGAGCATCAAACGTAAGTTTTCACATCTATATAAAATACTCAAACTATCTTAACCGTTCTTAATTACTTCCAGATTTTGCAGCTCTGCTAACCGGTAGATCGTCCCTGGATCTGAAAAACAACAGCCTAATGGAAGAATTGAATAAAAATAACGTGGTTGCAACAGGCAGGTTCACTTTCCATAGAAAAAACCTCCACTTCTCCTTCTATATCTCCGAGAAGGCTGCCAGACCTCGTGCCCTTCATTTCATGGACAGCGAGGGTAACATCTTGGAGGAATTCATCTTATCCCATGCAGGTGGCTTCGTGAACAGTTTATACCAAAACGCCACCAGAAAGGTTTGCGGCATCTGGAGAAGACTTCCAAAAGACTACCGGAGACTACTAAAACAAGAAAAGATGTACGTGGTATTGATTTGGGGCACCAAAGACACCGAGTTTACCCTCAGTGGCAAACTGACCCGCTATGTGGCTCTAGCTAGTGAACAATATAGCTCTCTTCTAGAACCCGCTCCTGGAACTGATTCTATGATGCTAGCTGGTGCTGGAGGTACAGCAATCATATCTACCTCATCTACTTTATCTCCTTCTCTTCACTTAGCGATAATATTTAATGGCTTATTCACTAGCACGGAAACCGTAGAGGTTCCTATCAATGTCAAGCTAGTATTGGACGAAAAGAAGCAAGTAATCCTCGAAGAGAACGTCAGAGTGTACAAGCCTGCGACAGATCTCAACCTCTTGGAGTTAAGCTCGCCTGTGAGCCAAGCAGATCTCCGATCGTTATCCAGAGGCAGGGTGTTCCTTACAGTCTCTTCTGTTTCCAAGCCAGAAGCGTTGAGTCTGAGCGGTAGTGTGATTACTAAAGTGACTTGCGAAATATTCCAGACTACTCTGTCTTCGGAAAAGGACAGCCAAGACGGGTTTCCGGGTTTAGCTTGGATGTACTTGAATAACCAGGGATCCCTTATCTACAATATACAGATTGATAACCTAGTGTCTGAGCAGTACCACATGATTACTTTAGCCGATACATCTGGAAAAAAGAAAGCTGAAGTCTTGACCCCCTACTTCCATAATGGTTGGGCGAATGGTACCGAGGACAGGGTTGTACACAAGATTCTAGAACCCTTGTACAATGGAAAGCTCGACGTGAAAATAGCAGTTGCTAATGACACCCTTCATGGTCACCTCAACTCGAAGCTGGTAGCTGATGCTAGGGATGCCGCGTCACCTATCTTAATGAAGCGTGAGAACCATACCCTGCCCTCTAACGTAGTGGGCTTGGCCTGGATCTCCGTAGACAGTGACTGCAATCTCCAGTACGATGTTTCAATTTCCGGATTAGGACATGATAGAAAGCTCGTACTCTACATGGAGATGTACCCCATCATAGCACCGGGAGCTCCATTCATCTATAAGCAACTTGAGGAATTTGAAGGCAACCAGGTGGAAGGCAGTCCTATCGAAGCCTTGACCAAGGAGGAGATCGACAGATTAGATGGTGGAGTTAGCTTCATCAAAATCAAAGATGCTTCGACCAAAGTAGTTCTGCTGTCTGCAACGATTACCAAGGTAAATGATCGCTATTGAAATTCTTTGAACAATGTGTATTGGTTTATGTTGTATAGTTGTATTCAACTTGAGCGTATTTCTTTTTTCAGATGAAGCTTCCATATTCTTGCATCAGACTTTCTTACAACGACAATAACGTTCCGATATCTTTCGACCATCCTCCAGACTTGATGCCAACTGAAGACTGCTTCTTTGAAGACAAGTTCTACAAGAAAGACACCTCGTGGGTATCTTCCAAGGACCCATGCCAGATGTGCTTCTGCCAGGATGGAGCTTCAAAATGCGACGTCATGACTTGCCCAAAAATGGACTGTCCACACGGCAACCTAACTTCAGTTATAGGAGAATGCTGTCCAATTTGTAGGGAAAACGGACCGTCTAGAAATGCCCAGAAATGTCTTTTCAACGGGATGAGTTACTCCCCTGGAAGCAAATTTTACCCGTTCATGATACCCCAGGGATTCGAAGTTTGCACCGAGTGTTACTGTGACCCAAAAAAATCCGAAGTCAGTTGTCATAGACTAGATGATACCGACAAAAGGTGTTGCAGAAACTGCCAGAAAACTACAGAAGTGGAAGACGAACCTTACTCGATGTTGTGGAACAAGCAGAACAAGGAACGGGTGACTGTGAGGCCTGCTGGGGTTATTCTGGAAGAGGGTGGTTGTAAGAATTTGAACAATCCCAAGGAGCCGTATTCTAATGGCAGCACTTACCATCCCTTCATTGCCTCTCTTGGAGAGTACAAGTGCATCACCTGTAAATGTCATGTAAGTAGCTCTTCATTTATACTACTTCTTTTTCAACTTCCAAATAACGATTTTTTTCATCTTCTTGAGCTCACGAAAGTAAATTTCTTTACTATAATGTTGGAAGAAAATCGTACGTTCCTAGGTTCATTTAACAGAATTGAAATGTTGAAATGGCTCGGCCGTTACTTGATTGAAATTCATGGCAAATGTAAAAACTTCACAAACGATAAGATTTCCACAAAATTCTAAATCACAGGACATGTTTCGCCAACACAGTAGCTTCCTCAGGTGAAATATTGGTTCAATGAACGTGACATTTTTCGTTTTAATACCTCGTCAGCACGAATCAGTTTTTTCTCCACAAATAAAATAGTATAACGTGTGTAGTAAGAATATCGTTATTCTAGACCAATTTTCTTTTTTTTTTCAGAGTGGTGTGTCATCATGCGAGAGGCAACGATGTGAGTGGAAGCAATGCAAAAAGATGTTCGAACTGCGCAGACAGCGAAGAGCAAAAAAACAGCCCATGAACATGTCGGACTTTTGTTGCAATTTGGGCGAGTGCAAGAAGCTAAGGCACAAAAAGAAGATGGAGGAAAAAGCTGTCGCTTTGCACAAACATTGAGGTCGGAAATAGGAGAAGTAGAGAGAGAGCAATTGTATTCAAGGAGCTACAAATGGACTTCAAGTCCGAGTTACCCCTGTACCAAAGAAGACTGAGACAGTTGAGAAATGAATTTAGAGCTGTCATATTTATTTTAAATGTTAGTTGTATCGCTAAGGGTGCGTTTGAGGAAAAGGGTGTGGTCGATTTAGTAATTTTCATTTTGGAAACGCGGGCCCTTTTCAATCCTCCACCCTGCAGGGTTCTATCATTTTATTTTCCTCCACTTTCATTTACTGTAAAATATTTTTTGAGCTAGCTCAAGTATTTTATAGTCTGATAAAAGAGGTACAAAATCAAATGAAAGTGACATTGTATATAATATTTAAGTTTAGATACAAGCAAATTCAAACGGGCGAGATTATGTTGGAGTCGAGATTTTATTTATTTATATTTTTCTAGTTGATGTTGAGGTGGGTTCGTTTGAGTGAGCTTATAAAACAACATACTGTAATTAGTTTATATTTATTCGACAAAATTTATTGTTAAAATAATAATTCTTATTCCATGGATGTAGAGAACAGATGGTTTCTTACGAGATAGAAATTCTCAATACTCACAAGCAGTGATGAGCAAAGAACATTTCTTGAATGGCCTATAAAATTTCTTCGTTGATTCTTTCACTTGTATACTTTTCTGAAAAGGAATATGTTTCATCCAGACATGGAAAATATTCCCAAAAATTCACAGGGTTCACTGTTGAGTATTTATTTGGTGTTTATTTATGCATCAACACTTTTACTTCCATCACTGCTTATTAGAGATGAAGGCTGAAGTTTTTGGGAAAAATTGAAAAATTCGTTTTGTTGTATAATATTTATACCATTAAGTTTTTTCGACAGTCACATGGACCTATCATTTCATGTTCCATGTGACTTTTTGTTTTCAATTTCTCCTAGCCAAGAATGTTATAGCTAAAATATCCGGGATGTGATTGCAAACAATATACCTAAGTACCTACTTATCACAATCGATTTTTCTGTTTCCTGGATAAAATCCTAAGTCCCAAAATTTGTCTACAAATTTAGGAAGAAACAAGACTATGGAATTATGTTTTCATCATATATTCAGGAAGGACAGACATATCGACGATGCTACTTGACCATTTTTGATTGAGATTTTGACAAATATCCAAAATGTTCAGGTGAAATGGAAATGTCCGTATTTATATAGGGTGTTGGATTTGGACATTTTCGAGAAACATTGTCCATTTTAAATTGCTGAACTGAATAAGTAGGAACATTATTTGTTTGATAATTTTTTGGGAAATCTATGAGTACTTGAGTAAATATTACCATTTCATCTGAAAATTTTCGGCTAATTCGGCATATTATCAATCAAAGATCATTCAGTTATTTTATCTATTTGTGGTCATATCAAACCTGTTGTAGGACATATCATTTGGTGCCATTGTAAGAGGTAGAGGTACTTGATTTTAGTATCAAATTTTCATGAAATATTCGCCATAATTGTGTGCGAGAAATTGTATGTAAAATTATCTATACTCGTAGAAGCATTTATATACAGGGTCGTCAGATATATTTGGAAGTGATAGTTTTCAAAGATGGACAATGAAAAAAGTGGACTGTTATTTTAGGACGCCCTGTATACCATATCACAATAATTATCTGGAATCTCCCTATGCAATACTACAGTATTTTGCTAAATTATTACATAGTCTAAACTAGTATTTTGTGAGTGTATATGATTGTGATGTGATTTTGTTTGTGAGGCGAGAACTTGTAAATATTGAAATCTTCTGTTGAAGGTCGATTGATTGTATTCTTCGGCCTGTATAGAACCGATTAAAGATACCCTATACGCTTTGTAAATTTTTTTCTAGTTTTAACTACGAACGTACGTAATGTTTAGGCAAGAAAAAATCTTGTATAAGCTAACTTGTTCTTGTTTTAAGTTTTAATGAATAGTGATAATGTGGGCCTCCTGATATTGCATTTGGTATCTTAATTTTTTTGTGTATAAATCTGTGGACTTGTAAATATTATTAGCAGTCAGTAATACAGTAAAGCTATATTTAAATCTAAGTGTACCTGCTAGCTAGAAATTATATGCTTCATTAATACAAAAAGTTGTTTCTTTCCAAACCGATCAACTCGATCCCAACACACAACAGTTGTGAGGAAAGAAAAATAGGTAGGTAGAATCCGATATCCGATCATAACTCTGTGATTTTTCAATAGAAATAAAACACAAGTATGCCTTTTCTCTAGAAAAGCCGGTCTCACTGTTCCCAACATAAGCTTGTCAGGAGTAACCATACCTTTGAAGACATCCATGTGAGATCAAGTGCTAAAAGTGCATCCCAAAAACTTGGTTTTCTGTTACGGGCCAGGAGCTATTTCACTTCCAGTCAGCTGCTTATGATCTATAAGGCACAGATCCGACCTGTCCTGGAATACTGTTCTCATATATTTGTTGTATTCTGTCCAAAAAAGGGCAATTCGTCTCGTGGGTGATGCCTCGCTTACAAACTTACTCGCTTCTCTGGGACACCGTAGAAAAGTTGGGGATCTGGCTCTATTTTATAGATTTATTTCATGGACGATGTCCTGAAATATCAACAATTGTTCCTCCCTTGGCAGTCCCCGCGAGATGAACCCGTCGAGTTGAGTCCTCGGACCCCTTCGTGCATGGTCACTTTGGAGACCTGCAGAACATCTCTTTCCGAAGACTTGTTCATTCAACGAATAGCGAGGCTCTGGAACACATTGCCAAGAGAGGTGTTCCCTGAGGCATATAACCTCCAGAAATTTTAGAAAAACATCAATTCCTATACCTTATTTCCCTTGGCTCTCACGATGTTCTCTGAACATTACAGGATATCCCTGTATTGCTATTGGTGAACCGAAATGAGCTGAAAATCACACACAGGGTGGTAGGAATTTTATTATTTTTGTAATTTTCAATGTTCTGGTTCCCACGAAGGTGTCATTCCTGTTAAAAACTTCAAATTTCACTCCGATGATTTTCTCATTTCAATTTAATGTTATATCTTCTCAATATTGATTCGTCCTTTTTCCTGTCATTAAAAAAAATACACGGGAAAATATTTGATTTTAGCTCACGGTTTTTAATAATAATATAATAATAATATATCGACTTTATTATTTCCATACATAAAGTAAACATCAATCTTATCTTATAAATACCATTAAATACTATAACTGGAAATAATATAAGGGGCTCCCTCTGCTACGCGTCCGGAGACAACAACCTCGAGCTAAAATCTGTTACTTTTTACCAGAGATTATACCTCTGTTTTCACCCTTGTATAATGAATAACTATTTATCCGTACAATATCAGAGAATGGAAAGTGATAAAAGCAATTTTAATGCCGCGAAAAATATATACCTTTCAATTTTTTTGGAGCCATTAGCGACATCTACCTTCATCTGGACAAACATCACATTAGCTTCATCTACAGTGACTCTATCATTCCACAGACTACTAGAGTGACTTCACTGAAAAGAGGAAAAGAGTGTACGATGAGTACAGCCTGTGACCCAATGATGGCGTTGTATGTTGGAATAATCCAAGATTGGTAGAAGTAATGATTATTTGCATGAAAGGTTGCCTCATGGAAATGTTAAGTGATACTTCTGATGAAATACCTATTCGTCGTATAGTCACAACTACAGGGTGACCAATTCTCATAAGTTTCACACAATACAGAAATTTTCGCACTCAGTTCATGATTGCAAAATATAGGTTGGTTGTATAAATATACATATCATAGGAGGTGATATACACTGTGTCCAAGATGAGGATGTCTATCACAGGGATCATTTCTATTTTTCTCAGACGTTTTTCAAAGAGATATAGGAAAATTTCGTTTCGGAGGAACCATCATCAACTTTACCCCATGATATAGACTTCCGTTATCTTGGACACTCTGAAAAATCACATTACTACAGTAATATTGTGCCAAAATCAACTTTGGTTATTATGAATAAACAATGTTAGGAACCATAAAAAATTATATGTTTATTTCGAGAATATACCAATGAAATCATTTCATTTCTCTTATTAGGGATGGAATTAAACACATTTTGAAAATGTTTGAGTGAGATTTATTTTGTTACTATCACAAAACCCATAAAACACAATTTTGTACACTGTTGGAGAATGAGTGAAACAAATTGGATGAAATTTGACATAAGTAGGTACATATTAGAGTATTAACCTCCATTCGGTAATCAAAGAAACCATGAAAAAATTTTAATAGTGTTAAAGCCACCCTCGTCCCCTAGTATTTTTTAAGGGAACATTCCCATCCCAGCGAGCACAAAAACATCTCAGAGATGTTGAAAGTACGAGATTTCGAGACATTGAACCTCCACTGCGATGTTCTGTTCACACATGAATAGAACTATTATAGAACAGCCAATGTCCGCCGGAGGCGGCAATTATCGAGATGTCCTTGATATGTCACAAAACTACCTTCTCCCTAGTTTTTTTTAAAGCCTTTTCATGGACACAACAGAACATTTTCAACGCGTCTTGCGCACATTAAATCGCTGTAAAAAAACCATTTTCGAGGTACTTTTCTGAAGCCTTTTGTCAAAATGAACTTTTGCATTAGGATTCCATTTCCCTTGAATGAAAAAATGCATTAAAAATAGATTGAACATGAAAATATTTTCTTGATATAAAATTACCTTCTTAATCGGTTTCTGAGTAGTGCTTACTACACACAGACATATAATTGGAAATAGGTTTCCCAATTTTTGAAATGTTCTCCACAATGCATAATTTTGCAACTGCAGAGAAGCTGTGTGTTGATGAATTCGTATTTTTATATATTGATTACACTGAGGCACCGAACAACACATCTTGCATCTGATGGTTATTATTACAAACTAAATAAGTCTTCTAACACAATAAACTTCACCAATTTCCTTTCTGTTCGTTAGCAGCGTGATGTAAGCGTGACACGCTGCAAAAGCGAATGCCAATTGCGAACAAGAAGAGCAAAATCGAACAAATCAGAATTCATCGTATTGTGACGTAAGCATGAGACGTTGTGGTGGGGCAAACAAAGAAATGCCACAGAAGAACAAAAACAATACTTCAATATCCTTCAAAGACCTCTTTGGTCAGTGCATATTACGTCTCAAAATAACATCTTCATGCCAACATTTTCAAAACATCCCAAAACATCCCAGGGATGTTTGTGCTCGCTGGGATGGGTGGTAATACGGTTCCCAAATCTTCTGAGCGAGATGACTGATTAATTATCTTCATTTTGTCACCACCTAAAGAATTCCATATTCCGCATAGTAGAAGTAGTAGAAGAAAAATAATGTTTTTTTAGTTGACAGTGGAAACAGCAGAATCAATGTCTGTCAAAATAGGTATGTGAAATTCCATACGAACCCCACTGATGGCATCAATAAAAATGTGGTACACTCACTGATACCCCTTGATACATAGTATATGTGTATGCCAAATTTCATCGAAATATCTGAAGTGGTATCACAGATATTGATGAAAAGCTATCTATTTTTGAGAATTTTACCACCCTGTATCTCAAAAGTTAAGACGCTCAGGTCATACGTTCATATGAAATCTTCTTCAAAAATGCCCAAGTATCAGCTCCTCGAATATTGACATTCGGTTAGGAAACATCCTGTTTATTGAAAAATGGAAATTTCATAATGATAAATGTTGAAAAGTGGCAAATGGAGCGTCATTGTACTCACAATGTGATTATCTATTGAAATAAGTAAAATATACCAGGTGTCCCATTTTTAATGAGAAAATAAGGTTCATTTCCGGACAAACCGGCAGTGACAGAAAACAATTGATAACGTCCAATTTCAAATATTTATGAACTATACATACACACCGAATTTCATTTGATTAACTGAAGGAACAAAAAAGTTATAGAGGTAAGCCACTTTTGAGGACCACCTGGTGGGTTAGATGTTGGAACCCATATTCAACAAATGAGTACCCACCTACAGAATTAGGTATATTCTAAGCTTTAACTCTTTCAAGTACTTTGGTGCAGAATTTGAACCACGAATTTCTTGGAGTTAGAGGTATGCTGGTACAAAATATATCCCGCTCTGCAATGGGCTTATGGTTTGTGGTACTATGGTTTATTTTCACTCCCGCCCCATATTACTCACTTATTATGGTCTTTTGAATCATATGTTCTAAGCTGAAGCGAATAAAACAATACATTATTAGTGAATAGAATATACTTACTCGAAACTTGTTCCGTTCGTTGTGTTTCTCCTCTCGAATTGCGGCTGCAAATTTCATGCTTATCATGTTATTACATTTTTTGTTGCATTAAATACTATCTAGGCAACATAGGTAACCTACTTGTTAAATTTTTCCAACTTATATGTTTATTTTTCGATCACAAAATGTGAAAATCTACGCTGTTTGAAATTTGTCCCACCATACAACATGACCAAGACATTTTTCAAGGATAATGATGAGGAAAATGATGTCGAATTCAATTTTAACATCATACTGTCTGATATGGATACATGAGACCCAGAAGATTTGATACCCCTATCGCGAAGTTGAAACCAGGGATAGAGAAAAAAAATGGTGTGGAGTGGATGAGATCGTTCAGCCAAAAGATTTCAATAGAACCTCTGGAGTGGCTCAAGATGGATAATCTCTCTCGTCAGTTCATCACGGACAAATTATTGAATCACATAGTTTTCCAGATCGATCTATGTACTAAGCAGAATTATCAGACGACTGGAAAGACATATAAAGGAACATATATTCATGAAATCTTCCTTGGATGCCGCTGTAGTCAACTCATTTATTCTTCACAGAATACTCTATATCTTTCGAAGTTATCAATGAAAGATTTGATCATTTAGTCGTCAATAAATATCAGTATCTTCATCGAGAACATCAATCGAATGGACGAGTCAAATAGAGAAAAACACTCAGTCAAAGCCATGAGAGTCACACAGGGTGCTCATCAACCTATCCGAACAAGTCGAAAAAGATAATGCTCTTTGCAATTCAATAAAGTTTGAAGTTGGAACAAACTGGTTGTGTGTTTCACTCTGTCTTGCAAAGAACAAAACATGTTTGCAGACGTGATTTGAAATGAGTCGATTCTCATGAAATCTTTCACCTTATGTAAAAATTGGAAAATTCTGAAATTATTTCATATTTGTTCGTATCTTTTGAGACATTTGGAGTTAGTTTGTTAATGAATCTCTTGAAAATCTGAAGAAAAATAAAGCTGTACATCTAGGGGGTGTTATATTTCGAAATTTCTGTACCTGAAAGAGTTAATCGAATGAGAATTTTCATAAACTTGAATGTGGGTTTCAAATAACAACCTTATGATTAAATGAATAAAAAAATCAAGACTTGTATATGTATTTTAACGTGAACACACGGTACATACTACATATACTTCCTGATGAAATATTTAGTAAAAGTCGATACCCATACCTATTTAGTTTTAGACATAAGTATTTTTTAACCACGCATATAAGAAGCAGTTGTATATTCATTAGTTCTATTACACTGATTTTTTTCTTCACAAATGAAAAATTTATACTCGTCACAAGGGTCTGAGGTCCACATCATGTTGAGACCTTTGCTGGGCTCGTCATAAATGGCGGAAATGCATCTGTTGCCAGTGCCGTACTTGTTATACCCATTTTTGAAATTTCTGTATCTTATAGGTTTCCCACTGCTCATCCAAGCCCAAATTTCCACATCAGGAATTTTCACACCGGATGTCAAAAACTGATAGTTGCCGGACAATTCTGTAAAACAAATTGAGTATGAATTTCAGGTCCATTTACATACAACGATCTCGTATTGCAATTGGCTTGTGTTTGTTGTTATACAGTGTGGACCCACTTCTAATGGAACCACCCCTGTATCTTACGTAATCGTTGGGTAAGGATCCTGAAATTTGCTGGAGCGAGAGATATACCAAAAATGCACTCTATGACCAAGTGGAGTCATCTTCAGTGATATACACTGCTCGCCAACAGCCATGAAACTACCCCAATTTCCGGAAAATGATATTAGGAGTCTAAATAGGTCGAAAATCACTTCAGATTTGGAATCAGGACGCCCAATTTACTAACTATTCAAATTTTTCCTGGAAAATTTTCAGTTCCGAAAAATGAAATTTTGTCGCATTTTTTATGGAAGCACCCCCGTATCTCACGTAATTATTGAGGTAGGGTTCTGAAATTTGCCGGAGAAAGAGAAAGTCCAAAGATAAAGTCAATTACGTGAGATACGGGGGTGCTTCCATAAAAAATGCGACAAAATTTCATTTTTCCGAACTGAAAATTTTCCAGGAAAAATTTAATTAGCTAGTGAATTGGGCGTCCTGATTCCAAATCTGAAGTAATTTTCGACCTATTTTGACTCCTAATATCATTTTCCGGAAATTGGGGTAGTTTCATGGCTGTTGGCGAGCAGTGTATATCACTGAAGATGACCCCACTTGGTCATAGAGTGCATTTTTGGTATATCTCTCGCTCCAGCAAATTTCAGGATCCTTACCCAACGATTACGTAAGATACAGGGGTGGTTCCATTAGAAGTGGGTCACACTGTATATAATGTTGAAATAATTTTTTCTTCAATTCTCAACTGAGTTTTTTTTCTGAATTGGTATTTGATTCAGGAACGTTGTCACGTTACTTATTCAAACTGCCAAAGACACATACACAAGTTTCATAGAATTGCATATTTTTTTCAGTAATAACGAAGAGAGAAAATGAAGTGAACGAATTGGGGTGAATATCAAGATTATAGCTATACAGAGTGTATCTAAATAACAACGGAAAAATTCAAGGGGTGTTTCCTTGTGACATTCTAGCAAATGAAGTTCATATAAAAACATGTGTCCTAACTTGTTCAGTTTTTGAGATACAGGATGTTGAAGTCGGAAGTATCAATTGTTTTCATGGTGCCAAAATTCAGTTTGGATGGAGACTGAGAAAGCCCCAAAATTTTTAAATGATTCTAATTGGGGTATTGAGTTATCTCAATGGAAGTCTTGAAAACAACTACACTTAAAAAATAGTATGGGTTGAATGTTGAATTGACAAAAAAATGTGTTTAATCAACAAAATCATCATAATTGTTGAATAAAACTACAATGATGGTACATTCAATGATTAGGTGATTGTCGAAACAATTGAGGAAAAATTGTACATGAACAAATTCAACGTCAACCAAAAATATTAGTTGGTTTTGATAACTTTTTTGTGCAACAACCAATAATTTGTAAAAATTAGTCAAATCGAACTAGGAATGGTATTTCAACAACATAATAACTGTAACTGAAATATCATAATAGCTCGCTCACTATTATATTTGGTAGACAAACGAATAGGAAGTTATAATCAACATATAAGTATTTCAAATCCAACTAAAGATAGTATTCCAACTATATTATATTGTAACTGAAATATCATTACAGCTTGCTCACTGTTAAAGTTGGTAATCAAACGAAAAGGAAGGTAAAGTCAATCTAGCTGCAACTATTTCAAATCACTCTAAAGATAGTATTTAAACAATATTATGTTGTATAACTAATATATTACTACAGCTCGTTCACTGTCATAGTTGGTAGACAAACGAACGTAGATTAAAATCAACCAACCTTCTTTGAAGGGTTGACAATAATTGTGATCTTCCCATCGGTATTTACAGGGCGACAGCGTCCACATGAGATTTTGTTGCTGGCGTCTTATTTTGATTTGTTCTTTGTGTTGTGGCTTTATATTATTTTGATATTATCGTTTCACGTTATACCTATTCTGCAATGAAGTGATTTTGGCAAGTCGATTATGTAATCACTGTATTCAATATCGAATTGTAATTTAGTATTAAATCTGGTAATGATTCATCACACTGTATGGAATTATTGTTTACGTTCGTCTCTTTTTCTCAGGACTCTCTTCCATTTTTGGATCATTTAGTACAGAAGCAGTGGATATATCCCCAGGGATGTTGTATATCACAAGTACCAAAACCATACAAGAAGATTGAGAAAAATTTGAAATCTCTCGCAAGGATTACCACTGATGTAGTCTTCCCAATTAATGATCATGATGAGGAAAATTCGTCAGATGATCGCAATTATGTGATGGTGAGTATTATTCATGAATACAATCAATTCAATATCAATTTCATTTTCCGATTCTATACACGTCTTGCAGGAAGAAGATGACAAACTGTGGTAGCAATTGAATAACGTCCATAAATGGAAGAGTATACATTGAAATAACGGAGACAAGAAATCACAAATGAAGAGAAGTATACTGTAGATATTTTGTAAAGTTGACCACCATGTAATGAATAAACTTGATGTTTACTCGAAATCTGTAATAATTCAGTGTTAAAAGAAACTGAAAAATAGTCAATATACCTATATCTACTATGCACTTTGTTGGTGAACCAAATATTATGGCTATCTAAACAAAATATAAGTGAAGGGACAAAAATTATGGTCAACATATTTTTGTGAGATTAAAATCTGGTTGATAACCAATTTTCCTGATCAAAACAACAATTACATTCGTATGGTGACTAAACATATTCAACTATTTTTCGTTGGTTGATTTAATTATTAAACGAGATAGGCTCATTTTCATATGCTCTTTTTGGTTGATTTAACCCATCAATTTTTTTGAGTGATATACATTGAAATTTGGAGTCAAATCGAATTTTTATTGTTTCCTCAAAAACTAAGCTAGATACAAAAATCACACAGGAAATAAAATCGATAAATTTATCCACTGTGACGCCACTGGAAATATTATTTCGAATCTATTTGCACTAGAACAAGATCCATATTACTATCAACAAAACCACAACGTTTTATTGAAATTGATGATAAGACAGTTAAGAAATGAATAAAAAAAAGATTTTTCATACCCTGTATCACGAAACCGAAGCACAAGGAATCACACCATGAATTTTTTTGGTGTTATTTAGATACACCTTGTATAGTCTATACTAGCTTGCATTCGCTTCTTTCACTGATGTTATAGGATGTTCTAAATTTTCTGTAGCGTGATTTCATCAGAGTATAAACCAACAATTATCATCGAAGGAAACGTTCATCAAAGATTTGGGAAAAAATAATATCAAAGTATAAATTGACGGATATGGAGATAACATTACCTAATCCATCTAGTGCTTTCTTTAGTGCGTCATTCTCTTCTTTTGATTCAATTGATACCAACTCCATCCCATGTCTCTTACAGTAATATTGAGCTTTGAAGTAATCAGCCTGAAATCATACAAAATAATTAACAAATTATGCATCGGATTCAAAGTTGGGGAATATTTGAGGAAATTTCATATTTGAATGGCATTTTGAGAACTGATTATCTGAAGCCTGTAGCTATATAGGCAAACTGATAAGGTGATTTGAAAATGAGGGCATATATTGAATACAACATTGTTATAAATACAGGGTGTTTCATAATATATGCGCAGGACTTCAGGTTCTGATAGCCCGTCCAAAAATATGTAGAAAGTTTCTATTAACTTACCCTCTGAAATGCACCTTTTTCGAGATACAGGGTGTTGAAATTTGAAAAAAGAATCGATTTTGCGAATATTTCTGGAACCGTTTATGGGTGGCTCGAAACTGTACTTTTTCCAATGGCGTAGAAGTTGGGCAGAAAACATCCACTAACCCTTCAAAATCTTCACCAATTATGATTTGGAAGTTGGAAGTAAAAATTCCGCGCGAAGCATAGCTTATTATGTGTGGAAAATGCTTTCAAAAGCTGTTCTCTGTGCGATAAACGGTTCCAGAGATATTCGCAAAAGACGATTTTTTTTCAAATGTCAACACCCTGTATCTCGAAAATGATGCATTTCAGAGGGTAAGTTGATGGGAACTTTTTTTCATATTTTTGGCAGAGCTATCAGATCCTGAAGGCCTTCGTATATTTATGAAACACCTTGTATACAGCAGTTTAACGAATATTTTCAAATTATCAGATGTTTCTAAGTTTTTTTCATCTTGAAAATATATCAAAAGTTGGAAAAGTAAATGATGTAAGTATATTGTTGAACGAAAAAATCGATCAAAATGAGAACAGGATCGAGAATATTCGTTGATGACAAGTTTACCCTCCCTGCACAATTAATTTTTGAAAACTAAAAATTGGTTTCTGCTAGATGCTGGACCCTCTCAGAAATAGGAACATAAAATCGATTCATGTATTGTGTATAGTAAAAGTATAAATCATAGTAATTTACGTAACAAGTCCAGAAAATACAGTTTTTTTTGGAGTAGACAAGATTCTAGGCCGAGCCGTATAGGCGAGTCCTGGAAGTGGACCTATTTTTTCGGCATCCATGTAGAATAACAAATCAATAAGACACATTTCCATATTATATTTCTTTGTGGAATGCAATTTTCAACATTTTAATTCTTAGTTGTATTAAATACTGAAATTTGAACAAAATACCTATACCTATATACTTACAGCTACATTATAGAAAGTTCGTCTAGACATTTACGAATTCACTATCGCTGCTGCTATCGACAGTTCATTGCGATAATTGCAACCAAACTTTTAAAAATGAAAATGCCAACTATAATTTCATATCAAATAACTGTTAACTGTTGTTTCGCTGTTATGGTGATGATCATCTGCATTTATAAAAACCATTTTCACCAAGATTTTCACAGTTACAGGTTACAGTGATACAACAATGTGATACTTCCGAACTTCCCGGACTAGGCTGGAAAAATGCAACTTTCTCAAAGAAAAACGCATCTGGGAATTGAGCACTACCCGGACGGATTCCAAAAGAAGGATTTCAAGAAACTTACTCTTAGAACGGTTTCCACATAGTATTGCCTGTTTTTCGCTTCAATTGTAGGCAAATCTGGATTTCCCCAGCCAACAGACAATCTCTGGAAGGCCTCTGTGAAACAAAAACAATGTTTTTGCCGGAATAAGTATATTGGGGATAATAATTCACGTGGGAATATTCTGGATTTTTTTCATAAAATATTTAATATTCTTACCTCTTCTATAAACAGCCACACCAGTGGATATGGACATCATCGCCAAAACACAAATTATTCTGGTTACCCCAATCATTTTGAATTGCGAGAGTAGAATGTGAGGAAAATTCACTATTGCAGCTTTTAAATACCTCACACCACACTAAGATAACAAGCAGCAAAAGCTTCACGGCTGTTAGATTCCATCACGAATCATTGATAACGAAACACTATTCACTTTGCTATGTTGGCGATGTTTGAAATCTTGGTTTCCTTATGTTTTTTATTTCTGAAATCATTAATTTACCTATGCCACCGTTGGTTTGATTGACTCCTATTTGTCCATGCTACATATACGTACTCACTACCTGATAATGACATGCGTCGATACGTTAAAACGTACAAAAACGTCAAAAAAATATCACAAATGAGTTGAAATGTCGAAAATCGTAGAAAAAACGTGAATGAGTGATATATACCGTTGAAAAAACGGGGAAAAACGTTACTGGAAACGTCACGCATAAGTCGAAACGTTAGTTTCACATTTTGTCGACTTTTTGAAGCATGTGTGACGTTTTGAAGAATGTTAGACGTTTTCACATATTTCAGACGTTTCGAAACATGTGTAATGCCGATATACGTTGAGTTAGACAAGCACTTTTTGGGATTTTCTCTCCTCGTTTCTATGAAATAAAAATATGAATATTATTTCAATATATATATGTGTAGTAACGACAAATCGGATGATTTTCCAAAAATGACACTGCGTTTAAGGAATTTTCCCATAAGAGAGCCTGAGAGAAAAATTCACTAGCTTGTCAGTAACAATTTGTATTGAAAAAGGTTTGGAGAAAGAGAAATGAAGGTATATAAAAGAAATATCAAATTATCATTTTGGACGTTTCGTGAACGAATAATGAATGTACTCAGGAGGATATATAGGGATATAGGAGGTAGGTATTGGTATATTTTTGGACTTTTGGAGATCATAAGTTCCTGGAAATAGTTCCTCAGGCAATGAATTCCAAAGCTTTGCTGTTCTATATAGACGAACGAGTTTTAATAAAGTGCTGTTCGGCATATTTCGAGGTTGACAACGAGAGGATGTGCTGACTGGGCTTGCGATAATAGTCATCAAAATCGTAGAAGACGCGTCAAGGTTGACAGTTCGCAATATGTATGACATGCGACACCATAATAATCAACAATATTCGTATACGTCCAACCCTTTTTCGTTGCAGTCTCCTACTATATCAATCTAACTCTGAATAAATAACCAGCACAATAAGTAGCGAGTTGAAAATTCTGAATAAACAGTGGTGCTCCTATAATGTAAGAATCGCATGTAGTCAGTCAGTAATAAAGTGAAACTTAACTTTTACAATCTGATTTTCACTGGAAATCATCATAATTTTGCATAACAAAATGGTCATTTTGTGCTAAAGATATATAGAATCTGAGTTTCTGTATTTTTTCATGAAAATGATGTCGAGAAAAATACCTCCATGACTAATGTTCTTCTTACGTAATGTATTGATAATGCATTTCAATTGTTTCCAGAATCATAACCATTTCTCATTGTGATTCATTGTCTAAAAAGTTAGTGTTGTTTTTTTTCCTTATCAGAATGTGGATAACTCACATTTGAGTAATTTTCAGTATATATATGCTCACTCGCAGTAATAATCAAACAATAGAAAAAAAAATTATTAACGAACCATAATAATTATGCAATTAATCAACAATATAACAATATAATTTTACAATTTCGATGAACTTTTTGTTTCGGCATGATCTTTGGCTTCCTTCATTACTTTCAGGGTAAATTCCACCGTTTCGAGGGTGGCATTGTAGCCCATCAAACCTACCCTCAAAAGTTTTCCACCACCAGTTTGACCTAAAAGGCCAGTTCCAATCTCCAAGCTATACCTGAAACAAATGTCAAAAAAGCATTAATTCAAGTTGATTGTTTAAATTTTTATCAAAAGATCCAGATGCATACAGGGTGTAATAGATTTCGATACCAGAAAAACCCGTGGAAGTTGTGTAATTTTAGTTCTCATGATGCTGATGAACCAAGACCAAGTAGGATTGGAACGTCTTATATATATATTTCATGGAAATAACTCATGTTGACTTCTGTTTAATGAAATAAATAGAAACAGAAATATTAGTGATAATATATTTTCACTCTGAAATTACACATTATCCATTTTCCGTATTAACAATTTTGGCGACCGTGACAGGACGTTCCTATCCTACTTGGTCTATCACCATTCCCAAAACTTTCAAAAATCAAAATGTCAACTGATTCCATGTCAAATAGCTGTCAGCCGGTTGACTATGTAAAAAACTTAGGCATCACTTTCGATGGAGATTTAAAATTTTATGCACATGTAAAACAACTACGCCATTCTCAAAGTTCTTTATCCACATAGACAAAGCTTGTCCCCTAGTACAAAAAAGCTTCTTTCTCAATCGCTTATCCTTTCAACCATCAATTATGAAGACCGTTACCATTGAGGGCCCTGTCTATGGTTCCTTCTTGGATTCGGCTCATCAATTTAAAATACAACGTGTGCAAAATTCTTGTGTTCGCTTAATCTTAGGGATACGAAAATTTGAACACATTTCTCAAGCTCGTACCAACCTTAATATAACAACTGCAAAATCACTTATTCAGTATTGAAATCGAAAGAAACCTGTTCCTCTATTGGATAAATTGACAAAGAGGTTAGAGCTCCATTCTTTCAACATTCTAACTGACGAAAACCTTCACATCCCTCGTGATTCGTCAGATATTATGTTCAGAAAATCATTTTCCTACTTAGCTGTATTTTTTCACAACACGATTATTAAAGATCTCATGCAGTTCTCGAAATCCACATTCAAAAAGAAACTGAAGGCAATATTCAATATGTGATAAGAAGAATTACATTTTTATTTCAAACTAAATATGTAGCTTGTTGTATACTATTAGTAATTTGTCCCATCACACAATCTTTATTTTTTGTCGAGTTACTCTAATTCTCATAATACAGTGTAAGAGTAGCTATAGCTATAAAGTTCACCTATTATGTAATATTGAAATACTAAATTGAGACGATTATTTAGTTCATATAATTCCAGTCACGACCCTGCGGCCTCCGACGTCACGCAGAGTCGTGCTGGATAAAATCCAGTGACTACTCCTCACAGCCTGTGAGGTGAGTAATCACTGGGACCAAGTACCGTGTGCCCTAAGTAGACGCAATGATCCCAGTATGACGGCCTTCTGCATTCCACCAGCCAGGATGTGTGCCTTATCACGGCACGCTGGGATTTTCTGGATCTCCGAGAGCAGCGTGTGTCGTGTGCCTCCTAGGGAGCCGATTATCAGGATGACCAATTCCACAGAATGGTCTGGATAGAGCCGGCGGAGTTCGAAGAGAAGATCTCGATATTTAGTCCGTTTTTCCTCCTCCTTCTCGTACGGTTTTTCCTCCTCCTTCTCGTACGGAATAGACGAGACCCCAGTGCTGCCCTATGCTCCGGGAGATATTGAGTCCGTTGTGGAGAATGAGAGGTGCCGAATTTATTGGAACTTTTCATTCCCCACCCTCAGGCAGATACAAGCTAACAAGCCTGATGTAGTCCTCCTCGACCATCAAACCAAAGCGATGTTCGTGATCGAGTTTTCGGCGCCAGCCGAACCGAACATCGTTTTGAAGGAGGAGGAAGAAGGAGACGATTATTATTATTATTATTATTATTATTATCATTTCGCTGCTATGGTAAAGATCATCTGCATCTATCAAAACCATATCTACCAATATCTTCATAGTTACAGTGACAACTATTATTGTGTCATACTTCCCGGTCTAGTCCGCAAAGTACGCAGGCCGGAAAAATACTAAATTCTCAAAGGAAAGGCCGAAAAAATTCAGTCATTCTCTTTAACTTGTTAATTAAAAAAAGTGACTGATTTTTCATCAGAATTTTTGTCTCATGCCAGACAATTTCACGAAAATATTATTTCAGAAAATACAAGTTGTCGAGAAAAAAACTGTGTGACCAATACAGGGTGTAATTTAATTGATGGCTGAAACTGAAGGATATGGTTCCTTGGATCATTTTGAGAAGAAACATCGTTTTCATATCATAACTTCAATACCGTTCTAGATATTTTCATGAAATTCGACATGCACCTACTAAGCACCAATAGGCATTTTTCGATGCAGAAGATTTTTTAATATCTCTACCAGTGGCGTACGTAAGGGATGTATCCTGGAGATTTTTTGAAAAAAATATCATACGCCCTCGATTTTTCTGAGAATAAATATCATTCTTGAAATATTGATTTTTTTGCAACAATTTCTCCTCTTGATTTTTTCCGTCCGACGAACCGTTTTCGCGTAAAAAATAATAGTAATTTTCCTAACAAGTGCGGAAAGTGATTCTTTCCCGCACGCGACTGCCGTTGACACGAACGACGCGAAGCGGAGTTCGGGCAAGCAGTCGAGTGCGGGAAAGTCACTTTCCGCATGAGTTAGGAACAATATTTTTTCTACAAGCGTAGGAAATTGATTGATCGTTCAATTGATTATTCATTCATTTGGGAACAACTAACAAGAGAAATATATTCTCTATCTACTGATTATAAGTAATAGCTATTGTGAACTCACAGTTTGACGCATTATGTATAGGTTCATTGCGGAAGCCAGCAGGCCCATAAGGTGTTTGGTCTCTAGGTTTCAGACACGTCTAGGAAATGAGCCAAAAATACTCAATGAAACGCGTGTATGCCTTCTCATACCTTTTTTAAGACTTACATACTTAATACTGCAACAAACAAACAAACTCAAAGTCTCATATTCCATCACCTATCACCTCATATTTTGCCATATTATAATATCTTTGTTTTTCCCGCAATGTTGCGGGTAAATGACACTTCCCAAACTAAATTGCGTGTGGGTATAGGGTGATTCACGCACGCTTGTAGAAAAAAGCACTTTCCATGCATTTGTGGCATAACGAAATTATTTTAAAATAGTAGGCTCATGCCCTATTTTGTATTCGAAATAATGACATTTGATCGATTACGTTGCGGTCTCATTATGACAAGTATCCATAGACGTGACAGTTTTTTACATTGTGAAAGTTTCTTTAATCAATAAAGAGAAAATAAAATGTTAACACCCTATACATAGGGTGATTATTTATTGATTTCTCAGAAATACTAAAACCGATTGTAAAGAAATTCATATCTATTGTGGAAATATCAATGAGCTAACTTTGAGACCTATTACAGTTCATGAATGAGTTACATATTTTCAGGGGCGTGCATTTCAAAATACAATTTTTTTGTCCTCTTAGATTTCTCATCTAATAGCTTCGTTTCAGGAGGAAAAATAAAAACCAAACCTATGCATGTCTCTAAACCCAATGAAAGAAACATTGTAATGCATCAAATCTAGTTAGCATTGGCCGTTTACCAAAGCAATCATGTAACCATTGCAAATCAATCGTTTACGTATTAGAAGAGCCACAACAGGCCATAGACCGCAGTGGATATCCTGCTATTTGTCTTCAATGTTGCCGAGCTAGTACATTTTTACTCCTTCTCCAATTGATATCGGATAGTATTATTTAACTAAACAATGTTATAAAATCTAACAAGCGAGCTTTTTCATTGAAACTTGAAAAATAAATGAAAAATAGTTACCCGAAAAATTTGTGTAATTATTACTTTCGCCACCCCAGATTCAGCCGCCACTGAATAGTTTTTATGAATAATTTTTATTTAATCTAATAAAGCTCAAAAAGTTCAGTATCTGTGAAAAATTTCGTTAATTTATCTACCGTTTCTGACTTTTGATTATAAAAATATATTCAGAAGCGTATTTTTGACACCCAATATCTCAAAAACGAAGCGTTTAAAAGTATATGTTCATAGGAAGTTTTTTCATTATTTCAATGATTACTATACGCTGTTAAATTTTCCATATAAAAAAACGGACCACCCTGTATAGTTCGAAAGTTAAGAGGTTCCGGGAATATGTTCATATGCATGAACTTTTCTTCTAAAAATAACTGAGGAACCATATCCTATATTTTCAACTATCAATTAAATTGCACCCTGTATAATGTGTTGAAGATTTTTATCCATCCTCTGCTTACTTTTTCATACAGAAATCGAGGAATTCCTTGTGATCGAACTCATCTCTCACTATCAAAGATGTGACCGTGATGAGTCTGTCTTTCTCCTCTTCCACGAAGAATTTCAACCCCAGGTCTTGCAACCCCTTCGCGAGCCTCTCGTAGCAAATTTCGTGTCTCTTGATGACGTTCTCTAACCCTTCTTCGGCTAGCATGGCCAAACTTTCGCGAAGGGCACTCAACAAACTGGAGGACACAGTATGATGATAGCTGGAAATAAAGAAGAAGAACACGGATAAAAAACCTCAATTTTGTAAATTCTTCAATAAATCGAACTAGATCTAAAAGTTCTCACAGTTTCATACGGCATAGGTATACATTATACATTATAGATTTTGAATCCGTGATTGATGATGTGATGGTTCATTTATTTGGAATCATATCCCTGAACTAATTCTTTGAAAAACTCGATAATATTGATTTCGAGAAAAAAAGATCCATATTTTATGATTTCCTTCTCGATAATAATATTTTCATTCCTAAAGATACTATACTATATATCAGCTTCATTAAATTGACAACGGACCTGTAATAATTATCATTTCGTTTTCTGATTCCCTATATACCACTTTTCATGTGAAAATTTCATTTGAAAAAACGAAAATCCTGATCTTCACATTTTTTCCATTATCTCAGGAACTGAAAACAATGAATGGCCTCTAAATGAAACTACATTTTTCCCCAATTCAACTCATTCAACTATTGTGAAGAATGAAGATATTGAAATGTTGATGGTACATAAAAAGCATCCTATATATATTATTATATACTTACATTCTTGGCTTATCGTAGCATTTCCATTGCTGACCCAGAATTCTCATATCCCAAAAGAAAACTTTCGGAGGTATTTTTCTGTCAAAAATGACCTTTCTGAAATAAAACCACCTTTAGTTGGTTGACAAAATTATCAGATCCAATAAATGTGATGAAAAATAATATAAAAATATACAGTGTGGCTGGTAAAAAGAGATATATGAGATTTTTTCATTTTCATTTTATAGGAACAAAAAGTTTTGCTTTCCACTTAATTCTATTGACTATGACTATGACTATGTGTTCTTCTCGTTCTAACAGTGGTCAAAAATCTTGAAATGATACATGGAAAACGGTTGGGGCCGTTGAAAATTATGATGAAACAATATTGATCGAAACATTTTGATTTGACGTTTCGAGTGTTGAGTAGTTTATATCTTTGAACTCGAGATTTTGCTTACTGTGCTTTCGGACTGAAAGACATAATTGCCAAACCAGTCGGTACGCTCAATATTTTTTGAACAGCAGTATAGGCGGCATCAACTTCCCATTTATCCATGAAAAATGGGACTCCACCCACTGTGGCCACAAGGTCAACAGCTAAAAGACAATCGTACCTGAAAATATAATAGCAATAAAAAAAAGATCAGTCTAAATTGTCTACTCCATCGTTTTACCTATGACAGATCTTTCCAAGGCCTTCTATTGGTTGAAAAACACCTGTGGACGTTTCACCTTGCACGATGAAAAGTAATTTCGGTCTTACTTTTGATAAAAAGCTTTCAATGACGTCGAATGTAAAATTTTTGCCTAACTTCACTGTCATTTCTGTTACAACCCCACCTTGAAGAAAGACAAATATTTTTCACGATAGTGTAACAGAAGATTCCACCTCATAGGGCTTTTTTTTTGCTCCTATAGGACTAAATGACTAGAATATTCTCCAAATATGCTAAAAAGGGATTCTAGGAATAATCCAATGTGAATATTCCAGTAATATATTCCAACCTAATATACAAGGAATATTCTAGTTTGAATATTCAGGTATAAATTTCCCAGGAATATTCACAAATAAATATTCTGTGTTGTATATTCATGAAATATTCCCAACTAAATCTTCTGTGTCGTATATTCATGAAATATTCCATGAACACAAATCATCATTTCAGAGATGAAGGAAATTTTTTATCAAGAATATGTTTATTGGATTGTTCTAGGAACATTCAACATAAAATATTATTTTGGACATATTCTATGAATGTCTGAGGAATTCCCATTTACCGAAATATTTATAGAATATTCCACAGATATTCTATAGAATATTCCAGAATATTCTTAAGATATTGCAAAATTCCAATAGGAATGATAGGGAAATTCATGGAATATCTCGAGCTCTCTAGGTAGTATGCCCTTCAACTAACCATATCTTTCTGCCATGTCTGCAGCTCTAGTACCCCACAAACCATTCACTGCTACTAAAACTTTGTCTCCTGGTTCTATCAAGTTGCACAAAATGGCTTCCATGCCACTATGTCCTGTGGCGCTTGTAGCTAGAGTGAGATCATTTTTTGTTTGGAAAAGGTATCTGATACCTTCTTTTATTTCATCCATAATCTGGAACATACTTTTCATTACTCTATCTACCTACTACTTTTACTTAGGAATATCGCGATTTTCTATCAAAATATTCAACATCACCCCATAGATAGTAATGAGTAATTTTTATTTTTCTGAACTTATTCATTTAAAAACCATTGGGATGTGCGATGTTTCAGAATGATCGAGCTTTTTAAAATGGACTTCTCAATCACCCATTCTGGACCTCAAACAAAATTATATTTTTTTGAGGTGCTAGTTTAGTAATAAGCAGAAATAAAATATGCAGGATAAATTCACTGGTTTTCGACCAGTTACCCGAAATGTCAACTTTGAGAGTGGTAATTTCCTGTGAAAACTTATAACATTGTATTGGAGTTAGTGATTGAAAAACACTTGACATGTGGAGATTATAATGCAAAATTATTTCATACTCAGACAGGCTCCTAAAAACTTAAGAAGTGAAAATATTCATTTTCAAACATAGGAACCTAAAACTAAAACCTAAAAATTAACATAAATCAAATTCATGAATCTGTGCATATTTTGCTTAGACATAAGGTAGGGTATTTTTACACAAGCCTCTATACAGGGTGTTTCATGAGAGGACTCACATAGCCAAATGGTTAATAGAGGGGAAATCAATACGAGTTGATGTATATTTATGAAGACATTTTTTGACCCTCCATAACATAACAGGGTATTATGTGAAATTGCTATATAACTTTGAACTTGAACTTTACAGAAATGATTGAATGATGAATACTGAAACTATTCAAGATAACATATGAAAAAATATCCAAGTCCGTACTTGGGAAAATTTTATGTTTCATTGTTATGTCAAAAAAGTTCACTTTGTGACCACTTTTTTCGAAAAATTCCATCAGATTCAGAAAGATCAGACAATATGCTATGAGAACTGCTCTTCAATTTACACGGCACACTTTGACCGGTTCAATAAAAACATATGGAACAAAATCGTTTGAATGAATTTTGATGGCTGTGTCAAGTCTGTGGTTTGACCGGGCACATACGTTCAGTATGAAGTCTGACCATCAGTCTGACCAACCAGCTGTTTGGGAATATCGGTCACGTTTCAAACCTGCCCACACAGTTACCACGTCAACTTCTGGATGGGAGTCAAGTCAGCCATTGACCATTCTGGTATCACCACCGTGGTCAGACGGATGACTTGACACAGCCAATAAATTTCGACCTGGCTGATAACTGTCAACTTTCAACTGGTATCATGTGAATTGATTTTTTCTTCATTTTTGTTGAATAGTAGTTGACAGAAAGATAGATGAGAAGAAAAAACACGATATTTTTTATCGAAATTCCAGATAGATATTGAAGTGAGATATCTAGTAGGTCCTGTTTTTCATTTGTGTGACGAGACGTGACGTTTGTTGATAATCCGAACTGATAGGTAGGTACTAGGCTAGTACTAGGTAGGTACCAACTGATGAAATTACGACATGAGGATTCATGTGCCCATATTATGGTGATTTATCAAATTAGTTATGCCATCAGGCATAAACTTATTTGCTCAATTTTTTGTTATTGATACACTTCTGCAAGTGATATAAGGATACATTTGTTATTTATTCAAAATTCCTAATGTTCATCCTCGTGAAGGTTTTACTGCAAGGTATTCTTGGGTCTGGAAATATTCTATGGTATTAAACATAGCATAGCATTTGGATTTTCGACTTGTTCAGCATTTGGAATATGAAGTGGCGCCTAGAGTGCAAGAATATTCTGATTTCCAGAGTTTACCTATCAACAAACACCACGTTACATAAAATAAAAACAAGGCCACTTTATAACAAATTTATAAAATATAGAACCACGAGTAATCATATCAATCTAGGAGTTCGGTCAAAAACTAACATGTCAAATCATAAAAAAATCAGAACTAATCTCTTCTGTCAATTTCTATCCAATAGAAATGAACAAAAAAATCAATTTCCACGAATCCAGTTAAAAGTTGAGAGTTATCAGCCAGATCGAAATTGAAAATTCATTCGAACGTTTTTGTTCCATATTTTTTTATTGAACCGGTCAAAGTGTGCCGTGTAGATTGAAGAGCAGTTCTTATATCATGTTGTCTGATCTTTCTGAATCTGATGGAATTTTTCGAGAAGAGTGGAAGTGAACTTTTTTGACATAACAATGAAACATAAAATTTTCCCCAAGTACGGACCTGGATATTTTTTTTCATAATATGTTATCTTGAATAGTTTCAGTAGAGATAGGTCTTCGTTATGGAGGGTCAAAAAATGTTTTCATATATATATATATACATCAACTCGTCTTGATTTCCCTTATTAACCATTTGGCTATGTGAGTCCTCTCATGAAACACCCTGTATAGAGACTTGTGTAAAAATACCATAGAAATATCAGCTTATATAATATGGTGATGACTGATGTATACCCACTTATTTATTGAGCAGCACTGTACATCGCCTGCACATTTTATACATGAATCATGTACCGTATGCGAAAGGAGGTATCAACACTGAAAAAATTATATACCTATACCCACTGGCTACTGGAAAAATGAATAAACATATAGGAAATAATGAAATCTAGTTTTAATATACCTAAACGTACTCTGCATAGGTAAGTATGCGTTGAATGAGTGTATAATCTCTGGTATAATTCAAACCAACTTTCAAATGGGTTTATATCATCTAGGTTATATTGATAGGTAGGTTTTATCAGCGAAGAGACAAGAAACTTATAGACACAGACAATGTATGTTTCTCACCTGGAATGTTTCTTGATTCATATGCCCCAAAACATTATGGCTCATAGCGTGCAGAACTCTAGGGTGTACATTAGAGGGACCAGGTCCCATGAGAACCCTTTGAGGAATCACCAACGGCTGTTTCAAAACTTTCGGGGGTGCAACTTCCATTTTCATCATTGACTAATACCTAATTCTTGATATTTCTATGTAAGCTCAAGCACGATATGTCTGCATTGAAATAAATGAAGTGACAGTGTTATTTTGTTGTAGGCATGTTGTAGGTATGCATAAACAAGTTATTATCGAAATCCTGTTATCTCTGAGTAAATTGCTGTTGACCTTTCAATGGCATGCATACTGATTATGAGGAAGGAAGGAGCCTTTTTAGATATTGCTACTCATAGGTAATACGATTTGCGTATTTTTGTCCTCTTGAACTGAGATAGTACTTATGAAATATATTGCAAAAACCATAATGCAATAATATTCATTGTTATCAGGTACAGTGAGTACAGTGAGAATATGAATATGCATTCCCCCTATGTGCCGTGCCCCTATTATGAAATCTATGAATCTAGCTCATCTCCAGCACGTTTATGAATTGTAACAGTATTCTTTTCGACCTGTTTACAGAGTCCTACACGACTCACAAACCTCACAGCCACACAACTTACTACCTTTTCTCTACTTATCAATTTCTTCAATAGATCGCGCCAGCCGGTATCGTCATTAAATCGAAATTGTAACAGCCAGTGTTCCCAACTCACCCTTTTTATGGCTAGTTCTAGCCATTTTGAATTAAAAATTGCATCTTGCCATTTAGCCATTTTCTAGCTTTTTTGATACTGAATTCATATGATAATATTTTCATTATCATAATATTCCCATAACCCATAGAAAGTTCATTATATTCACGATCTAATCTAAGTCAAATTTAGACCCGTGTGTGTTGTCATGCGCATGAATCGAAGACACATTGACGATGACGTCAACATATCACGTCATATGTAAACGTCAATAGGTACCACTAGGTCATAGTAGAGGTCTAGAGGCTAGCTCTAGATCCAAGCTCTAGTAATGTCAGAATTGTAGTCCATGGTCAGATTTTTTGGTTTTGCTAGAAAATTGGCAAAAAATTGCTAGATTATCCAAAAAAAAATGATCAAAAATCTTTCGCCTGCGGCGCGTTTTCATTTTTACCTGTAAATTAGCATTTTTCCAACAAAAATCTACCCATTTTTAAAATTGGCATCAGGCACGACAGTAAGTGCTCGTGATATGAGATTTGATTGGTATTCTCTTGACCATACTAACCAGTGACCATCATAGACATGCAGCACCTGTTAATATTTTCATTTTTAGGGAAATGCATTCCAAGTTCCAAGGTCCTTGCCATCCTTCAGCAATCAGGAGTAGTATTTCTATAAATTAGTACCTGGTAATAAATAAATATGCGCTGAAAACAATAGGCCATCGCATTGTTCTAGACATTTCTAGAATATCATTCTAGATGTTCCTTCATCCTTTTGCTTCGAGTTCTGATACATAACTAGATTCTCAAAGTTTAGTATAAGTATAAAAAACTGGTTGGAAATCAAAATTTCATGTTCTGAGATCATTCTATTAATTTATATCCCTAAAATGATACCCACTCCATTATATCTCCACATTATTTTGAAAGTAATAAATATTCCTTGCCTACCAGAAACTGGCTCACACCCTGGATCTTTTGCCAAATATGGAGGCAACAGAGTTGAGGTGACATTCTAGTGTATTTTTGAAGAAAGTTTCAGTATCCATATTTTCTATCCAGAAGAAAAACGAATATTCATTTTGAATAATTTTTTAATGGCCGGAAAATGAGATGTCACTTTTGGATGCGCACTCCTTATTTCATTTATGATCATTGATCATTTATCAGTAGGTACTTCTCAAGTTGGAAGTTGGCCATTTTCTTAAATCTTAAATATAAAATCATAAGTCTTAGTGGTGGATCAATCCAGCAGTATCAATTAACAATTTTCAATTTATAATTATCAATTATGAGTTGAACTTGCTATTTTCAATCATTATGTGCAAACAATTAACAATTATCATTTATCGAATAACAAGTAGATAGTAGAAAGTTGGGTCAACTTTCAACTTTTAACACTAATTGAACCAGGTTTTCTATTGTGCGCAACTAGTACGCAGATGACCTTGTAGATGACCGAGGATTGGTCCATCCAATGGTGGACTAACCTCAAAACATTTCCCGGTTATGTGTTTATTTTTACTTCTCATTATTCCTATTATTTTTGAGTACTAGGCCCACTTGTGATAGCAATATACCAAAAATGTGTTTACAATATTATGAAAAAATGTTGAAAAAAGGACATTTGCGCCTGCGTTTTCTCAATTATTACTTTGGATGCTGCATAAATCCACATTCAAATGGCTTTTCAACATAACCAATGATATTTCCATGTTATTTATCTATCATAAGTGATAATAAGCCTTGAATTTTAGATGAAAAATCTGAAGTCTTAAAGTTTTGCATAAAGTGGCCCTAACTGTTCTGAAACTGTGTTATATATCTGGAAAAAAGACTAATGTGGAAATGCACCTAGGTATATTTCTCAATGGAAAATGAGCATTTTTACATCGTTCGATACTGATAGCTACTGAACTGAATTTGTGTCATTGTGTCCTTTGGCTTGCTTGCTATTATTGATATTCCTGTGTAAGTTGATTATCTGTGGCTGAAGCCTTGATAGGAGGGCACACAGCCATGAGCGTAGCCAGAAAAATTGTCAAGAGGAGGGGGGCGGAATTGTTTATCAAGGCAATAATCTGTGTTCAGAAACATATATATATCTACCGGTTTGATATAGAAACTGGCAACAATATTGTTTTTTCAATTAGTCAATAGTTTTCAATATACCTATAGTTGTGTAAAGCTCTGGAATATCGAAATGTATAATGTATCCAATTAAAATACAAAATTACGAAGCTGATGTCAACGTGGTATTAGACGGCAAAGACTGCAAAGATTCATATTCTATATTGGTAGGACGGTCCACAGAACTTCTTCACCTTCCTCAACGAAACACTCATATTTACCTTCAAAATTCGATAATTCCCTCCACTAGGAAATTTACTGACGAATCGGCAACACTGCCTGCATCTTACCTTTCCCAATCTCGGCGTCGCGTCTGTCGTGGATCACCTTCACCTGTTGATGAGCTCTTCTCTTTTCTCTTCTCCCTTGTTCTCACTTCTCCGATGTTCTCGGATGCTGGTTACATTGCGGCATTGCCAAATTTCGGAAGAATGCATCAGGAATCCGATAAACCATTATTTTATGATGCTAAATTGTTTATCAACCATGGAGCACGTTTCAATTATCAACTCTGGCGATCATAATGGGGCTAAATCGATGCAATCACATGCCTACCAAATATTTATCCTTTCGAAGAATTTGATTGTCATGTATATCAGATGTCGCAGATTTGATGCTCAGGGGATTATTCCCCAAATTGGCTGGTTGTTCTTGGAACTTGAAAAAACGCATTCCTCGTTCAACTAGAAAATAAAGATATTTGGACTATTTAGTGTGCTTTATTCTCATGACTTCTCCCGATATCGATGCGGCAACAGCGCTTCGAAGATGAAATAATTGGTTTAAACTTTGACCGCTGTGGAACAGACATAATGTTAGAAATCATTAATACAAAGTATTTTTGCTTGATTATTTCTGAATTGATAATTTTTCTGAAAAGGGTTGATATTCGGAGAAAACATTGAAAATTGAACGAAAAAAGTATGATCTCAGAATTCCAGAAAAAATAGTCTGGTACTGAACTAGGAAACAAGTCGACTTCTATAGCAATATTTCCAGTCTTTACTATTCTTTGCTATTTCGGCTTGCTATAAGCATCCAAAGTTCTATCATTGAGTATTCAACAAGTGTATATAATCAAGGCACAAGGATTTTGTTTATCCAGCTGGTATTTCAAACACGAAAAATCAGGCTGATCGACGCAGGCATAGACGAGGCGAGAAGATCGGCATCTAGTGACGAAAATTCAACTTGATGTTGAATGATCGAAATATTCCATTTATACTATTTCATTGCTCTATTCAAGCAAAATGATCCGTTCGAAACTAGTTCATTGCTTCTTCGGAATAAGAAAACTTGTATGTTCTTTTGATTATATTATGTTCTTATCAAAATGATTATTATTTTCGGATGATTTTTTCAAACTCAATGAAATTATTGGCAATCTTCTGCGACCGATTAGAAAATGGAAAATATTCTGATTATATCATCTAATTGATGATCTTTGGATTTCTAAGCCTATCAAGCATCGAAATGTCAGTGTGTTTGGGCCTCAGCCAACTTCATGTATTTCAATAAAATGTAATTTAACAGCCAATTAATGAACGAATATCAAATTCTGATACATAGTCAAATAGAGAATTTCAAGGCGAATAAGATAGACTACATAAATATACGGGGTGCCATTTCAAGAAAAAAAATTATTTTTGTTGATGGAATTGAATCATACTGTTGATTCAATTAAACTACATCCTCGATTCGAACAAGCTACATGAAATATTCATGTATCTGTTCGGTTCAACAAAAAATTGCTCAGTCCAACTGAAATAATTCGAACATAAATAATATGTTGATGCAACAAATCCTTTTTTTTTTCGTGTAAGGCACTTTGGCAGCGAGTCAAGGGACACCCTGTATAACTAAATAATTTTCCTGACAGAAATATCCTTCATTTTTCCAATTGTCAAATAATCTTCTGCTGATGCGCAAATATTGACTCTAGAGTTTCCGGTTATCGGTTGTGCCGGAAGTACTGAAAGGATAGACTGCCAATGATCGGATGGCAAACAATCGAACTGAAGATCGAATTAATATCAGAGTGGCCGCCTTACTTCACTTCCAGACTTCCTCCCATAGTTCCGGGAAAGATAACGTTGTCGGATCTATAAAGTTTCAGGTGTTTCCGAAGGAGTTCTGAAGGAGTTTGCTCCTTCATAAAGTTTTCTTTTCCGAAGCGATAACTTCGAATTGCGAGATCTGATTTATATCTATAGGCCAATGAAATGGAAGTTTTAAATCCCATTAATCCCGGAGAATGAGTCTGTTCCAGAGAAACACTTTTATTCCATCAATGGAAAGTATACTGAGCCAATCTGGTTATACAACAAAAAGTTACTTCTTGATTAGCTTCGCATAGTTATTCCAAATAGATACCTAATAATTGAAATCTACATCATCAGTTTCTTAGAGCTTCAAGATAAATATCCATTAAAAATAAGATGCGATCTTCATCATTTCAAACGGAATGAATAATGGAGCAAAACCATATCCATATAGATATTGATGATGAAGAATATTTGATCACAGTCACATATTTCAACGGAGGAAGATAGCACATTTTTTGTCTCCTAAATCATTCAAAAATAAATTAAAAGTAAATGAAAAAAAAGTTTTTCTTTAAACGCTCTAGAATGAAGATAATGAAATGTTCCTTTTAAATTTTAACTATCGACT